GGCCCTGCTATCCACAGAAGCAGCCATCTGTCTTATTACTGGTAGGCATGCGCTCTACTACCCAGGCTCCTGCAGCAACCTTTGCTACTCTTCTGCTCAGCTAATAGTCCAGACATTGGGGCCACTCCTGCACGAGTGCTTGGAAGGGGCTTGATGCGCTCCCACTTCCATCTCCCTCCAGCGGGGGCCCTCCCTCCTTCCATGGGACAAGCCCTGGGCAGGGCCCCCACTGAGAGCTGCTGGCCAGTGGTCCTATATACAGGCAACCTGGCCTCCTGAGCAATGTGCAGCTCACCCTCCACCCTCCTTACATGGAACAGCAATCCAGACACACTGGCCTCCTTCCTAGGACGCTGGGGAGGGAACCCCGCAGAGCAAAAGTGTTTGTTTCTTGTCTCATGTTTGGGCTGCTTCTGCATTCCACCACTGAGGATTTCTTTGGTGTTTTTTGTTTTGATTTGTTTTGCTTTGGATTTGGTTTTTTTTGAGACAAGGTCTTGCTATGTAGCCCAGGCTGGCCTGGAACTCACAGAGATCCTCCTGCCTGCGCCACCATGCCTGGCTTTGCCATTGATGATTATTATATAATAAGGGCTATCTTTTGAAAGTTCACTACCTGGTATCATAGATGTAAGGCAATAACTGTGTGAAAATTCAACTCCTTTTGAACTGTACTCCAGTTCTATGCTTTAACCTGTGAAAAGAAGCAGGACTGGGAGATGAATTTGGGAAGACAATTGATCAAGAACTCCCCTGCCCCTGGCCCTTCTGACAGCGGCCAAGGAATCTTTGTCCACAAACACACACATATGCACATGCATGGGGATACACACAGACGTACACAGACAGATATACACACACAAACACAGAGACACATGCATAACATCCAAAGACACACACAGAGACACACACATAGATGCACACACAGACGCATGGGCACACAGAGACAATCATAGGCATACACAAAGGGACACAGACAGATACACAAACACACATGGGGACACACACATGCACAGGAGCATTCACAACCCAGATGGTAGCAGGTGGCACGCTAAGCTCTCTCTGGCAAAAGTTTATCTGCCTCCACCCCCATCCATGCCCAGGATCAGAAGCTCAGGGGGATGAGAAATTTCTAGACACTTCCCTGAGCTTTGCTACTGGGACCCTTGCTAGAATCTGACACATATTCCAGCTGCCACCAGGGTGGCTTTGTCCAAAACTCTGCCCTCCGATTCCTCCCTGGAGAAGGAAGGGCCAGCTCTCTTCCAAGCCTCTGTCCTCATCTTCCAAAAAGCGGAAGCCCAGACTTATCAACAGCAGGTTCAGGAAGGGAAGGAGACACGGTTGCCCCACTGTGCTGAATCCCAGCCACCTGACAGGCAGATGGTTCCCTTGGTCACAGGAAGGGGTGGGTGGCCAAGGTGGATGCGGATCTGTTGTCAGTTCAACATTTGACGGAATGTCTTCTCCCAGGGTGCAGCGGGACTGCAAGTGAAAGTATCACTCAGAATAAATGTGAAGGGAGCATGCATGACATCTTTAGTTTTACAACTTGTGGAAGTTTTTCAATGTAAGTATGTCTCCTAGAGTAATACGAACTCAAGACTAGACATTATGTGTAAAACAGCTCATTGTATAGTCACAAGCAGTCTTCCAGGTAAATATTGTGATGTTCCTTCATACTGGTGATGAACTGACATGCAGAGAGGTTAGAAGCTAGCAGCTGGCAAGTGGCACTCCACTTCACATCACACTCATCTTGTATGAATGGACAGACGGACAGACCAATGGACAGATGAAGAGCAACAGAAAAGGCAAATGAACACATAGCCTCCCAGTTAACTAAACTAATGAAATAGTGGGGCTATTTAAGGGAATACATTAGGTTGATTGGCAATTGGCATTTCAGCGCTTAAGAGAGAGGAAGCAGGAGGAGGAGGAAACACTATTATTAGAACACGTGCGCTGGAGGCACACTGCCGAGGTTCAAACCTCACACGCACCGTGGACTAGCTGGGTAACCTAAGTCTAGCTATTTAACCTCTAGTTATTTAACTGGAGGAAACCTCCAGTTTCCTCATCTGCAACATGAGGGTATTGTAACTTATGAGGTTGTTGTGAGAACTGAGTTCTGTGCAGTTATATGGAAAGGACTTAGAACTTTGCCTGACACCTGGCAGCAAGGGCTCCATGAGTCCCACAGTTGTTATTCTGTGGTATATGAGGAAATGGAAGCCCGGGAAGGGAGAGCATGCTCGTTGTGTTGTGTTTCAATAGTGTCGCTTTTGATACTGACCGTTGGCAACACTTCTACCCAGCTACAGTGCCACCAAAACACTCAAGCCAACTCTAGTCAAATGCTCTATCATCCACTGAGATTTTTGGTAAGGTTGTTCAACCATTGTCCTTTATATATAACTTTTAAAAAGTAGTGAAACAAAGGCAGGAGTGTGGCGTTATCAAAGAACAGTATGTATTTATATCATTTCCCACCACGGGGTTCAGAGAAGTCCCACGATGAGTGGGAAGGCATAGATTTGCCTTCTGTTTAAACTGTTATGAATATTTATTGGGTGGATGAATGTTACTGATTACCATAGTGTTATTATGACTTATATCTACATGTCCTCCCAAAGCCTCACGTGCTCATAGGTGGCACTTCTGGAAGATGACTTTTGGATCATGGGTGTCTGGCACTGGATTAGTCTACCCGTGAGTTTATAGCTGGGTGTGATGTTGGGAGGTGAAGCCCGGTGGGAAGAGGTCGGTCACATATATATATATACATATCCCCTTGCTCCTCCTCGATGGCATGCCCTGCTTCCTGCCTACTGGGCCTTGAGCAATTCTCCTCTGCAATGCCTCTCTGCCATGCTGCCCTGAGTTTAGAGCCAGCCAATTACGGATCGAAACTTCTACAAACCGTGAGTCAAAATAACTGGTGGGTGTCAGGTCAGTTCTCAGCAATGAGGAAATAACTAAAACACATAGTAGTCAAGGCTCCTTATCCCAAGATCATGACAAACCCCTCTCAGAACTCAAAAGTTTATTTCTTCTGAAGACCTTCCTAAGACAAATCTGCAATCCCACATCAGAACCCCTTGGAGCAGAAACATTTCAGAATTTAGAATTTTCGAGCAACTACTCTGAAAATAACAATACACAATATACTAACCATTGTTACTCTCCTGAAATCTTGTTTTGAAATTTTAAACCATTGTTTTGGTTTATTTTTCTTTTCTTTAAAATTAAAAAAAAAAAAGGAATTTAGAATTTACAGATTTCACCAAAAACTAGAGTACCCGTCCTGTGTCATCCCCCCAGGGTCTGGGTCAGGATCTCATGATGAGTGATCCTAAGAGTTCTTCAGAAAATGGGAGGGGACACGGACAAGGACTACAGACTGTCAACAAGCCTGGTCAGCCAGGTCTCAGCGTGTCATCAAATTAGTTTGTTACAAACAAGGAGAAACCTTCAGACTTTCAGAGTTTGGGGAGTTCAGACTAGCAGATGGGTGGACCTGTTGTGATGAGCTGAGCTCTCCTCATCCAGGCTGCCCAAAGAGCTTGGTTGTGTCTCCCCTGGGTGTGCGGCATGCTTACCACCTGGGCACTGTTTTCATGAACTGTTTTCATGCATTTGATTCTCAGAACTTCTGTAAAGTGAGTTGAGGTGAAGCCCAGAGATGGTAAGCGAGCAGCCTCAGGTCAGTCAGTAACAAGGCTGGAGCTGGGATTTCACCTGCATGTCTGAGATGGGTGAGGAAGGTTTCCCAGCCAACAGGGCATTTTCATTATTGTTTTTCTTTCCTGATCCATTTTTGGGAGGTTCCTGTCTTTTAATAATAATTTTTAGTACTATTTCTTTCTATGAAATAATTAGTTTCTTTAATTGAAACTAACAGGTAGAGGAGGTTATGTAAGTTTTTGGTTTTTTTGTTTTTTAAGTATGGACCTTCATCCCATACTTTCCCCACAAAAGCCTTATATCCTTCCTGAAGTTTGGGGATTCAGCAGTCAGCTTCCGACAACTTCCATAGGATTTACCATGACAACTTCTAAGTGAGTAAACAGAAGCCTGCTTAAAGCTTGGACAAAGGGAACAAAGAGGAAACTCCCAGGATATTTGGCAGTTTGGGAAGGTTAAATTTGGAAACTCTGAGCTTCATTCTGAAAACAAAGGGCCTCTTATGATTTTCACAATTCATCAAACCCTTGGGATTATTAGATCCTTGTATAGAGAGCACCAAGCATGTGAGAGGCCCAGGATGCTTTGGAGCTGGGACCATGAAGAGATGGAGAAGGCAGAGGTGAATAATCCAGACCAAAGGAACAGCAGGTGGGTTCAGGGAGGCAGAGGGGTCAGCAAGGCCATAGCTGAGCTCCCAGACAGAAGATGGGAAACAAGGGGCTGATAGTGACACGCTCCAAATGCCAGGCTGGGGGATGTGTGCCTTACCCCAGGGCCCTGGAGATCCCCCAGAGGCAGTGGGACAGAGGTGCCCCAAGGACACTTGAGACCGCTTGGTCTTCATCGTAATGTGGCACATCTGTTGAAAAGAAGGAAGGAAAGAATGGATGTGTGAGTACATTCAGGTTGAAAAACACACTGGATTACATAGGACGGGGAAGCAACTGAGATAGGAAACTGTGTTAGGAATTCCAGCGACAATCCTGGTGAGAACTGATGAGGAAAGCGGTGATGGGCAGGGCAGGGGAGGACACAGTCCAGGAACAATGGGGGCAGACTTGATGTGACATAGTGAGCAGTGGGCAAGAGGTATCAGCCACCTGGCCGGTAAAGGGGTACGGGGGAGGGCTCTTCTCGGTGGGCTGCTGAGGAGAAGGTGTGCTGTGCTCCAGTGGTAGCATCCTCTGGTGAGCAGATGTTCAGGGAGGAGCTACAGCAGGAAGCAACAGTAAACAGTGGGGAAAGTGACAGCACAGTTATTGTGGGCTCCTGCAGGGATCGGGCAGCCTCCCTGCGGCTCTTCGCCCTGCTCACAAGGCTTCCGGGCCCCTCGCCTCAGGGATGCTCCCCTGCAGACAGAAGTAGCTTCGAACAAGAAGGGAAGCACGGATGCGAGGGAGCTGCATCCCGTGGGCGGCAGTGTGCAGCGTCAGGCTGGGGACTACTGGCAGCAGCTGAGGTGTCAGGGAACACAGGAGCTTCAGGAGGACACACCTCACACTGGTGGAAAATCACAGGGAGGCTTTCCAGTGCACCAGAGCTGGGGCTGGCAGGACTGATGATGGGTTTAACGCTTCCTGGCCAGCATGGGTCCTTTTCCCATGTGCAGGCATGACTTTTAGGTTTGGTGTGGCTATGTCATTACCTTAGCGTTCCCTCTACCCTGTTCCAGAGACTTTGAGAGAGATGAGGAGGAGCCAGAGGAGCTCTTGAAAGGGGTTCCTTGTGTCTGTGACCCAGTCCCCACCCACCAGCCGGTATCAAGAGATACAGATGTGAAACCAAGGCCTAGAGCCAGGTGCCAGGTGGCCCAAGGGACACACTCAGGCTGACCTTCTGACGACCAGCCCTCAAACAACACAAGGTCGCAGCACTCTGAAAAGCTGAAACACAGTGCAACAGTGCTGGCTCCTCTGGAGAGATCCATGCAAGGGCCACAAGGTCCGTCTGCTCAGGCTCACTGAGAAAGCCCAAGCACCCAGAGGTGGCCCCAGAGGAAAGGCCCTCTGTGGGAGTGGCTGTCACTCAGAACATCCCGACCATGTGCTCTGCCCTGGAAGCTTTGGGTTTGAAAGGAACACGTTTACTAAGTTCCTACTCTGTGCCAGGCCCTTCAACACTGGGGATGCAAAGGTGATTTTGACATGGTCCCTGCTTTCAAGGAGCTCATGGTGCGCCGAAAAGCAGACACCAAGCCAAATCATTAGAACAAAGGAGACCATCTTAAGGATGAAGTGAAATAGGTGGGGACAACATTAAATCATTTCTCATCACATCCAGTGCATTTGAGGAAAATGTATTTAGCTCATTTTATTGGTGAAGAAACTGAGGTTTTCATGGCAAACAACTTGCTTACATTCCCACAACTAGTGAGCGACACTGCCGGTGATGCTCCGGAGCACGCTCATGCGCTCCTGAGGGGTGACTCTGTGCACCTCTTCTTGCTCAGTGACTTCTCATTGGTGGCTTGGAATCCACCAGCAGACAGGCGGAATCCACCACACCAGCAAATGCTACCAGTCAGGGGACAGCCTAGAAGCAAACCCCAGCCGGAAAGCAAATTTCAGTCTCCCTCAGAACCTCTTGTGGACTGAAGCATCTCCTTCTGTGAAGCTGCCTTCCCAAGGGAAACGCCAGCTCATCCTGACCAAATAAGACCATGGCTGTAAGCTGCCTGCACAAAAGACCAGGCCACTAGTCCAGTCACACCTATCCCCTCAGCTCTGAGCTCGTACCTTGGCAAATGTATCTGCACTCAGATATGCCACGGGGGGGGGGGGGGCAAGGGTGAGAGGGGATGGAGTGGGGCCACAGAAAAAGGTGCTGTTTCCTCATGCAGAGCACTAATCTTGGCACTTGCCATTCGTGTGAGGATTTGATTCATCTCTGTCTCCCCAGTGCCCCCACCACAGCAGTGACTGGGGACCGTGGTGCCCGAGTGCCAAGTGCATGCCCGGCCAGCAGGAAGCCCTGTCTTGGCATTTGTTGAACAAATGAATGAGTGAGCCAGTGAAGGGCCCCGGAGCCCTAAGGCCAGGTGGAACTGCCCAGCCCTGGCCTGTCCACCTGCTGCCACAGCTCCCTGTACCCATCTCTCTCAAGGTGGAGGGTGCCTGACGCCCTTCCCTGTCCTGAGAGGAGGCCACACAAAGTCAGCCCGCCTGGTGCAGAATCCAGATCCTGCCCCTTACAGGAGCCTGTTCCTCAGCGTCCTCGGCTGTAAATTGGGGTCTGCGGAGTTGTCCAGAGGATTAAACTGGTCAACCTTTGTAAAGTTCCTGGTGCCCAGAAAGCGCTGTGTGTCTGTACATAAGGAAGATCCCCTCCCCAACTCACTTGTCGGAGCGTAAAGACCCTTTTCTCCTCTGCTGTCCCATGGCAATCGTCCAGCCCATTGTACCCCCCAAAGGCGCGGCCCTGGCGGACACAAGGGTTACCCAGGCACAACTTGGGCTCCCCCGCCCCACCATGCCCCATCCCACTTCACCCCACCTCCAGCATCCCAACCCACCCTCTCCAAGCGACCCAGCTCCTGGCCCAGGTCCTTCTGGTCCCCCAGCCCCAGGAGCCTCTGCCCAGGCTCCCGAAAGGCGCCTCCAGAAGTCCGGCTGCGAGCTGGGGTCCGGGCGGACTGAAGGTGTGATGAGCGGCCCGGAGGAGCTACTGCGGAGCCAGCACGCGCGGGCGGCCGCGCCACCCAGTGGCCACCTGCGGAATCGACGGCGGAGGCAGCCGCAGAACCTGAAGACTGCGAGAGGTTTGGGGGGACACAGAGAGAACAGATGAAAGGACCACCACGGAAGCACTGCTCGGCTCACGGCCACTTAATTAAGTAATTCGTTCGGTCCGAGATACAGTGGCCTGTGGGGAGGGCTGCGGAGTCCTTTTCCTTCCATGGGTTGGATACTCCACTGGAGGCTTCCCCTCCCCCTGCCCCTGAAATCCCTGGCTTCCCTACCCAAGGGGAATGCTCCCACGTGGGCTGCTAAGGAGACAGATGGGACTCTGCACGCCGTGACGCCCAGCAGGCTCGTCTCCCTGGCTGCGGTCCGGCGGAGTGACATCCAGGCGCCCAGGAAGTCCTGGTTCTAGTCCCAGCTCTGCCCTGCTCCTTTGGTGCCGGGTCTGTGCCGGGACTCTTCAGTTTGTGGAAAAGGATGACAAAAATACAAACCCATTCAGTTCCCTCCCGGGATGTTTTTGACAGTCAACTAAAATCATTCTGATAAAAAAAAAATTTATTCAAAATTTCTGAGCCATATTAACTTTAGCAACTGTGTTGTTATGGCTTGAATCTTAAATGTCTCTAAAAGCCACGTGCTGAAAGCACTTAGGAAGGGTGCAATGGAAAGAAGTGAGGTCAGTGGGGGTGCTCCTTGGAGGGGATGTGGGGGCCCCTGTGCCTCTTTATGACTCCTCGCTGTCATGAGGTGAGCCATTTTCTCTGCCATTCACTCCCCACCATGATGTTCTGCCCCCCCACAGGTCCAAAGCCAGGGGGACCCCCCGTGGACCAAAACCTCAGAAACTACAAGCCAAAATAAATCTTTCCTCCTTACAGGCTGTTTGTCACGTGAAAAGCTGACTAATGCGCATGTGAACACAAGAAAATACCAATACACTTGAAGAGTGAGACCCACAGTTCTGACTGTTAAAAACTCCCCAAACAAGAGGTTTTTATGTGGAGGGGAAAGAAAGGAGCATGGAGCTGAGATCCAAAATTACAAAGTTCCATATGGGAAATTTAAATGATCTTAAGAATTTTACTATATAGAATTTAGAAGGCAGCTTGCTCTTTAGGAAACCAGTGCAATAGATAGTACTATTCCAAAAATATTTGGAGGGTAAAGTAGAAGCCAAAAGCCCCTAGTTGATAGCTAGGCATGGTGGTGCATACCTGTAATCCCAGCAACTTGGGAGGCTGAGGCAGGATGATCGCAGGTTCAAGGCCAACCTGAGCAATTTAGTGAAACACCGTCAAAAATTTTTAAAGTAGAAGGGGCTGGAGATATAGGCCAGCACTCCCTGGTTCAATCCTTAGCGACAAATTAGGGGCCCAGGGGAAGGCCCTGCTTGATCCATGTCAAAGGTAGAATCACAGAAGCAGCCAGTAACCTGTGATATCCCTGATAGCCACCAGGATCTATTCAGAGTTTGAGTCAGTGCGTCCACTCATCCACCCATGCAGCAATGCTCCTTGTCCAAGAACAAATCTCCCCACCCGACCCATTCTGATCTCCACAGGTGTAACCGACCCCGATCTCTGGCCTAGAATCACAAGAACAGAGATGCTACCCATTTCAGAGTCCTGGAACCTCAAGACAGGGTAAAAACTGATACTAGAGTGAGGGGATCCCTGGTCCCCGCCCCTACCTAAAAAAAGAGCCTCCGGCAAGACCACCTCATTTATTTACTGCCCAACACCATGGACAGCAACCATGAGGAGGCCTTTAGGGGAGAGGCCTGGGGCAAGCTATGTGTTTGGGAATCTCAAGTCCTCTGACTGACACATCTCCTAAAACTCCCCTCTGATGTGCACAGCCAGTGACAGCCAGTCCTAACAGTCACCTCCTCTTCCCTTTCACCTCTAATCTTCCCTTTCACCTCTAATCAAAGGGCGGCACTCACTGTCCCAGCCCGGTGTCTCTGCTTCACTGTGGTTTTGTCTGTTCATTCTGTTTCTCAGGTTCTCCTTCCCCTCACATCACATCATCTTGCAGAAGCTATTTCCTCTGTGATGGTCTTCCAAGGAGCAGCAGGACCTCTGGACACAAACCTGCACAGACATCTCCTGAGTCCTCCAAGCAAATAGGGTGGGCAGCACTTACAGAGCACTGGTGTGTGTGCCCTCACATGGAGCCAGGGCAATGAGATGCCTGGCAGTCAAACGGACATTACTTGGGTCAATTCTCATCCTGTGTAGAGCTTCCCTCCAGGTCTTGGATTCTGAAGCGAGAGGCAAACCTACCTGCATGCCGGTAAGATTTGTTTTGAATTAAGTCACCAAGCCCCTGGTGCCCCTACTCTCCAGCTGGGAATGGAGGGACTTCAGAGGCAGCCTGAGAGTCTCTCAGGACTCCCGCCTGGGACACCTCCCCTGCTCTTCAGTCGTTCTGTACCAAGGAGGGAGATGCGCCTCTTGTCAGACTGCAGAACACTCATTGACCCATATTTGCAGGTAGATGTGGCCGCGGTGTAAAAGTGGTCTGGTATGTGGTTGACCAGTTCTCTCACCCATCCATGCAGTAGGTGTAGCTCCCTGGCCAAGGCTCAGACACTCTCCCTTGTCATTATGTGGCTGTCTAGGCCACAGGACGAGCAGTGATTTGAGGAGAATAAGGCCCCTAATCTGAGGCCAACTGACCCCAGCACTCCAGATGGGGATTTCCAGATGGGACAAGCCCAGCTGCCATCAGATATGACTCTGTTTTCTCCTGGCTCTTCTTCTAAGTCTCCTTTGAGGACTGTGGGTTGTGGTGGCTGAGGTATATCTCTGCTGGGATCCCCTGACCATAATACTGATATCTGCCTCAAATACTGCTGCTACCTTTGAAGACCCTCCAGCATCCTCCCAGACACTCAATACAGAAGGAAGGTCAGAACATGCTGTCATTGGAGGGAGAAGCTAGACTAAAATCCTATCAGGAAGCTGGGAAAGACTACACAGAGAGACCCAAGTTTAAGACTGGCCTTGGAAGACATATGGATCTCCATAGAAATTTAGAGATGTAGGAAGCCAGCCAGAAGGAACGCAGGGATGCTTGGAGAAGAGTAAAAAATCCAGTTTATCACTGGATCGTGAGCATAGACAACAGAAGAAATGTCTAAGTTAGATCGAACCTACAGGTTGGAGCCCCAGGAGCTGAGCAGAGATGTTATCACCTAATTTAGCAGACACCTGGGAGCCATTGAAAGCTGCTTAGCAGGGGAGAACTATGGTCAGAAGCAGAGAGGTTAAGCTCCAGAAAAAAAAAAATCCAGCAGAAGTGTGCAGGCTGGATTGGAGCCAAACAAAAGAAGAGATCAGAGGACCAGTTAGAAGACCAAGACAAAAACTCAGGCAAATGGAACGTGAGGGTGGGGCAAAGGTAGCCCCTGTTCCCCAGGAGGTCTTGGCTGGTGGGGATAAACTGTCCACTAGTGAGGGCCATCTCTTCTTTGACTCTTTTGCCCTTAGCAAGACTGGATACAAAGAAAACTCCAAATAAATGGTGGTGGTGCAGAGAACATGATGATCTTGAGGGTAGCAGGACACCCAGAAACAGCTGAGAGCAGAGGGCTGGAGCTCAGCAGAGATGGCCACAGAAGGGAGACTGGAGCTCTGCCTTCTCACCTACAAGGTAGCATATGCTACCTTAAGTATATGCAAGTATACATGGAAAATATATGGTGGTCCCAGAGCATACAGGGCACAGGAAGAGTATGAGGATGCCCTCCCACCCCTGGAGCTGCCTCTGCACCCCCAAATCCACGTAGCTTAACAGAGGACACATGCTTGCATATCCTAGGCATATCCTCCCACTCAGAACACATCCTGTTTCAGGAACTAGGACAGCAAATCCGCCTGTGCCCTGAGGCTGCACATCAGTTGAGCAGCGAAATGCTCCTGTTCAGGGTAGCACTGGCATCCGTGGGGAGCAAGGGGGCTGCCTCCGTGCAGCAGCTCAGACAGTAAATCATATCTCCAGGCTCCAGACCACCAATGGTTTGGGGTTTTTTTTTCCCCTAATTCTATGCAAGACTTCAGCTTCACCTGAATGCCTGTGGCACTGAGAATATCAAACCTAGATCCCAAAGTGACATTGAAACTGGAAGGAGTGTGTTCTCAGTAGTGTCTGTTCATCCTAAAAAAGAATTGTCCACACTTCCCCTCACAGCTCTTCTCTGCCTCCTCCCTCTCTCCCACCCGACCTGAAATGCACCTGATGTACACTTGGACAAGTTACTGCTACAGAGAGCTCCTTGTTGTTTGAAAACACTCACAAGCAAATGAGTCCTCCCCAGTCACACTGTGTGACTTGGCTTTGGTTTCTGGGCTCCTTCTTCTGAGTCTGTTGCCCACCCCACCCCATTCCCAACCCCACAGTTCCTATGACCTCTGACTCACCCTCCAAATGGACCATCCATCATCTGTGGAAAACTCCATGAAGGCAAAGACCAGGTCACTTTGTTCACTGTTGCAAGGCTAGCATCTAAGACATCACCTGCTAGGTGGCCACCACCCATAGGTAGGGTCAACAAGCTCTGGCCAGTCCCCTTTCCTGCCTAAGGTATAAAGCTGTACAGGTGCGCTTCCTATCTGCAAGTCGAAGACACCCTCAGAAAGCTCGGTGCCCTGCACACCCAGAGTCCCTTCTGCAACTGCTGGGCCTGTCAACCCCCGAAGCTGGGGATGTGTTCCTGGGAGGCACCGGGATCGGAGGAACACATGGCTGGTCACTGCCTCCTTCCACCTGGTCCCGAGTGCCCAGATCCCTCCTCTGAACCTGCCATGAATGCAAGCTGGTCTCTCTTCACCTCACTTACCTCCCCGCACCCTGCCACCATCCCAGCTTTTCCTGCTCCCTCTCTGAGGTTTCCAGAGGCATTGGCACCCCTTTAGAGACATTCAGTGCATGGCTTCTCTGCAGCCTGGAGACTCCCAAATTACTGCTGCTTCTGTTTCAGACAGCCAAGGATCACAGCGAATCCCTTGTCCTCATCCTCTTTACAAAGGTACTCGTCTGCACCCCACAGGGGTGGACAGTGGTGACATGAGAGCCAGGGTAGCCACCTCCACCTGGTGATGCTGGGGAAAACTTATCTCTATTGGCTCAGTTTCCTCACCCATAAAATGGGCTAATATTAACAACTCCTCTCTTTGGAACATTAAGAGGATTAAGTGAGGCAACACTCGTAAAGCACTTAGTAAAGTGAGTGCATGAAAAACTTAACCTTTATTATTATCACTAATTGCAATTTAGAAATAACTGCAAGAGCCATTTGCCATGATTTATACACACACGCATGCACACGCACACACACATGCATACACACACTGGCTCCCTTTCCTCAATTTATGGCAGCATATTACACCCCACTCCCATCCAGGTGCCTCCTCACGGAAACACCCTTGCCAAATCCCACCATCTCTCCCACCCACCCATAAAAATGGTCTCATCACACCCCCTCATGCACGGCCTTATTAATCAAAACAGTCTGATTGTTACAAGCAGCCCTACACTCAACACAAGCAAGCCTGGCTTTTCAGGGTAGCAGTGTTATGTTACAAAGGCCCTGGGACCTCGGCTCCATCCTCTCACCCTATCACCTCATGGCCCACGGGGTCCTGTCCCCCTGCCCAGGGCTCCATGTCCAGCCAGCAGACAGGGAGAACAGACAGAGAATTGCTTGCCAGGTCCTTCCTTTAGCCCATCTTCCAAAGGCCAGAAGCTCCATCCCATGGCCCCATCTTATTGTGGCCAAAGTTCAGAAATCAGTTTTTCCAGGGCGACAAGGAGGAAATGAAATCTATGTGATGAACACGCAAGTATTTTTTCCGCTACCTACTCCTGAAGCACAGGCTTCTCTGGAGGGAAATTGAATTTATACTCCTCTGGGCATTCTCTCGGAAAATAGGCCCAAAGCAATATTTTTTCCACATATTTTATTTCAGATCTGCAGCAGATAATGTCCTATCTCTCCAGAACGGCAGCTGCAGGAGAAAAAGGTGATCTTAGAGCAGGACAGTGCAGGACCCAACCCTCAGCTTTGCCAGTTGGGCTTCCTTGGGGAAGTGTCTGTTTTGCAAGGTAGAAGTGGTTATGGAGACAGGTATTTGAGCTGGAGATAAGACAGATAAATGGTGACTGGCATGGAATTTTCTTTGCCCTCTTCCCCTTTTCTCTGTCTCCAACCCCTGCCGTTCACCCTGCAGGCCACCAGGCACAGTAAG